ATCATGACATGCCTACAGGCCTTGTCAGAACTCAATATTGATTGTGGCCTGCTGAATTGCTGACCGTTTTATAGGTATATTCGTGTGCATATTTTTAAAAATGCACCTCTAGAATGCAATCTTTAGGGGAAGGAAGGCAGGAAGGAAAGGAGGAGAGAGGGAGGGAGAAGGAAGGAAGGAAGGAAGGAAGGAAGGAAGGAAGGAAGGAAGGAAGGAAGGAAGGAAGGAAGGAAGGAAGGAAGGAAGGAAGGAAAGAAGGAAGGAAGGAAAACACTGTATTGAAGGAACCTCCAAGTTTAGAAAAAACAGGAGAGAAAGATTGGCTCTTGAGAAAGAAACATTTCAAGCTGAAAATATGAAATGCAGCTGGGGAAAAAGAGATCAAAGATCAAAAATAAAGTAGTTCCTTGGCTCTTTCAGATATCAAATACAGCTGCATTTGTCACCTCACACCTATCTCTACCTGCCACTAAGTGAGTGTGCCATAATCAGGCAAATAAGGATTCTTATATTACTAGTGGCAACAGTGCTCAGTGCTGCCTGCCATTTCTAGGTTAATCGCTTAGCAGTCCATCTGCCGACAGCTCATTTAGCCACTGGTGCAGAAAAACAACAGCTTGATGAGAAAAGGCACACAGCGTACAAGAGGAAAAACAGAGCAATGGAGAGGGGAAAATAAGAGAAGGAAGATCAGCTTTGGACAGGTAGATAAAGAGGAGACATAGGAGCCTCTTCTTACTGAGATCAATAAGCGAAAAGGAACTCTGGGACATACCTTGGGTTAAGCAAGCAGTGGCTGTGCTCATAGGTTTTCAGACAATGTCACCCATGTGCCCCCACACACACATATCTTTAATCAGTGATATAGTGCAAACCAGTGAACAACTAAAATCTGCAGGATTTCTATTAGGTGAAAAGTAAAGGAAAACGACTCAAACTAAGAGTTTAATGTGCTTGGGTGTTCTGGCTGTATGATGCCTACGCTAGGTCCCTTTCATGTTGTTCTCTGCACAGCTGATGAGAAGAGAGAGCCCAGCAGCCAAGGGATGCTTCAAATGGCCAGATGAGCACATGTTAGATGCAGCCATCTGTAAAACGGAGGAATTACCCAATAATAACAACAGCATTAGCCGATAATATCACCTGACGACTAAAGGATTGACTCAGGCAACAACACGGCTCTCTGATGAAGTGAAGAGAAAAGGCAGATATAAAATGGCCTTCAGAAGAGGCCAGAAGCTGGGTGGTGCTAAAAATGTTGCTTATAGAGGATCTCAAGTCTCAATCTTGCCACTATCCCTAGTACCCAGGTGGTTCTGGCCTGCTTTCTAAATTCCCAGGGCTCCATTTCTGGATTCTTAGCAAAAATGACATCTTCCGGTCTTACCAGATCTACAGTACTAGTAGCAGAACAGATTTTTTTTTCTTTAAGATTCGTGTCTCTCTTGGAGTATTAGTTCTGATGAGGGGACAATGTTGCTACAACATCTCAGTTTTTTGGCTCTGCAGAGCTTCACTCAGCCCCATTCTATCAAGCCTTGGGTTTAAATTATATGCTAACTGCATCCTGCCTTGTTCCAGTTTTATTTTCTCCTTCCATATTTTTTAACGTTGCAAATTTAAAACAGATTGCAGATGGAAAGTATATATTTCAACTAATGGATTCCCCTTCCCATCTGCAGTCAAGCTGACCATACCAATAATTGGCAAAACCAATCTTTTCAGAATTTGCATGGGAAAAAATTGAATATCTCTATCTGATTATGTTCCTTGTGCACCATTTTTCCACAATGCATCATCTAGTAACATTCTTTCTTCTCATCTCAGTGACTTTTAATATAAGAAAAACTCTACTAACCAGGGCAAGGGCCCATCTGCTCCAACATTCAATATCCCAATAGATGCATTCAGGAAGCTCTCAAATAACTATTGTAGTATTTAAGGCAGGCCATCTATAATTCTGGAGATAATAATCAGCCACCATGAAGAGTAACCACTGAAGGCCATTAGCTTTATATGAATAGGGCAAGAAGATGAATCATGGTGCTCATTGGCCATTCAGTGAGCTTCATTGGCTCAGCGGTTTCCAACTTATCTTTTCCCAATACTTATCTAACATTCCAGTATCAATGGCATTTGTGTCATTTCCTCATAAACAAGTTCATGGCATTTCTGCTTTGAACCAAAATTATGTAAGAACTTGCTTCTTTGGGAGAAGTTAATATTAGGGACCTAGATGGAAACATGCTCTGTGTCTCCACTTCATCTCACAAGGCTTGTGAAGCAGTTGATGTTGTGAAGCAATTCTTGAACCAGGTGATGGACTCAACCAGAAATTTGTAAGTGAAAGGCAGAGGCCATCCAGATGTGTTCTTTAAATCTCCTGCTAATATGCTCTACCTCTTGGCAACATTCACAACACAGTAGAAGGACAAAAATCAAGGAAGAGGCTTGGCAAATTACTTTCCTAACTCCACGAAGAAAACTGCATGGGGCCAATCATCCAGAGTCAAGCTCAATTCTGTCTGTCAGCCTGATAAGGTAGACCACATCAGGAAATAAGGCAGGATAACTAGAACTATACTTTATCAAGGTAAGCCAAAGTAGCAGAAGCTTGTGAGTGTGATTGAGCTTTTATTCCCCCAGACACACCAATACCCCAGTGAGACAAGGAACCACAATGAGTCATTTGCTAACACCGTCTCCTTTTGCAGGGGACATTTTTGCGTGTGTACATGGGTGTGTGAGAGATTTTTTTATTTGTTTGGAAGTGGAGAGAAAAGGTTTGCACCAGTGACAGCTGGACTTCAATCAGTTCAACGCACATACACATACTCCTCCCCCCCAAAACTGTACTGTAGAAGTAAACAGTTAAAATATCTCCTTTCCCCCTCCTGCATCATTGCCATATTCCTCAACTGATATGTCAAAGAATAATTTGGGGTTCCAGCTTGAGCCATGGCTGCACAAGAATAAATAAAAACAAGATCCAGAAAGCTGCGAGGAAAGAAGAAATAGTTATTCCTAAAAGCAAAACAGGAGCTGGCTGCAGAGAAATGGGGTATAGTAGTAGATTTTTATAGGGGGAGCTTGTCAGGGGTGAAGTGTCTACATGCTGATTCTAGGGTGACACTTGAGGGGGGGTGTTTGTGTGTGAATGTGTGTGGGGGGGAATGTTTATGCTTGTGAACATGCAATTCCTCTGGGAGACCTAATTTAATTAACTCCATGTTTGCACACCTTATCCTTTGATATGTGGTTTAGGTCCAGGTAACTTATTTGGGGGTTTGAGGCAGTTGCTAATTTTAGTTGATTAACTTGGTTTCAGCTTGACTGTCAATTATCTAGTGGAGACGCTGATTCTCAGACCACTATGGATTCTGTTAATATTTTAATGGAAGATGGAAACAGTATAAAAATATATATATTTGGATATAAAACTTTTCACAATTGAAAGAATTAGGGGGAGAAATGCAGTAGGCCTAGAAAGATTGCCTTCCCCTGATCCAGTCTAAGCAGTGAAGCATGCAGTGTGGGCCTTCTCTCTGATCTCTCCTGTTTACTAGAAGAACCAGCAGCTTCTGTGGCTCAAAGCATCAAAGTTTGATCGATGGGCTGGCTGATGTTCTTGGACAAAAAAGCTTTGCAACAATTATTCCCATTCTGGTAACCACCTGCTTGGTTCGATGATCCGTAGTATATCTGGGACTGCTTTTGAACATTGTCCAAAAGTTTCAGTTAATCAAAACCAGGAGAGCTAAGCTGCTAAGCCCATCCAAATACATTATGCTTGAGCTTGATCATCTGCACTAGCTGTTGTCTCTTTCCAGGTCCACATCAAGCTATTGATACTTTTGAAGCATTGATTGGTTTGGGCAGGGTTCCTGGAGGAGCATTTCTGCCATACATGCCCCAGCCTGAAGGTTCTTCAACTTCCCAATCTGAGTCCATTTCCAAGCAAAGGCATCCTAAAATATTTGGCTTTGGGAGAGGAAAAAGGAGGGGATGTAAAAGAAGACTAAGCGTTACAGAAATGCACCTGAAGCTCTCAGTTGAGAGGAAAACACACTTTAGGGCAGGGGTTCTCAACCTTGGCAACTTTAAGACTTGTGGACTTCAACTCCCAGAATTCCTCAGCCAGCTTTGCTGGCTGAGGAATTCTGGGAATTGAAGTCCACAAGTCTTAAAGTTGCCAAGGTTGAGAACCCCTGCTTTAGGGAGTAAAAATTAGCATCAAAGATGCCAGAGGAATAAAAAAAAAAAAAAAGTCAGGATGACAGCTTTGATCACATCATTTCAGCCACACCACAGTAACTTTATTTTTTTTTAACCACCCCAATGGCTAATCCTGAGACAAACAATCAGCAGAACAAGAGCGAAGCAACCTACGGCTTCTAGCAATCTCAGCCTCTTTTCAATCATTCTCTCCCAGCTCAGTGTCCTCCACTTTGATTATACCCACATGATTGCTACAGGTAAGCTGAAAGGTGGGAAGCCTCGCTGTGGAACATCCGCTGCTGGGCAATATCAGTGGGCACCAGTTTCTAGGCAAATGGTCATCTCAGGGTCTGAAGAAGCCTTTGGCCTGAGCCTCTTGGACTCTGGCAGAGGTTCATAAGGACTTCTACGGTTTGAGATACTATTCCTGCACCCGTATAGCATAAACGGAAGTAACTGACAGCCTCCCCCCCCCCGCCTCCATCTGTGCTGATCCAGACCAGCCTGCTTCTCCACTCCCTCCTAGGTCTGCCACAGCCAAGTGTACACCTGCCATTGCTCCTCCTCCTCCTCCTCCTCCTCCTCCCCCTCCTTTTGCAAGAGCTTGAATCTAGCAGCTTGCTCAGCCTTTTCCCCATTTCTCCTCCCTGGGCTTTTCTCTTTCTTTTCTCTCGGGGTCCTTACGATAGCCTTGCAGAGGAGGAGGAGGAGGAGGAGGAGGAGGAGGAGGAGGAGGAGGAGGAGGAGGAGGAGGAGGAGGAGGAGGAGGAGGAGGAGGACCTTCAGACATCTACTGGGGAGAAGCAGCACGGACCACTTGCAGAGCTGGCAAATAAAGGACAGCAATTTCCCCAGCCAAAGCCTAAGGTAAGAGTCCACCAGATTGCATCTGCAAGGAAATGGGAAATGATGGAGTGGACTGGACTGCTTAGCCTGATCTAGCAAGAGGAAGGAGAATCACGTTTCCTAGAATAAAGCTGAGCCATGGCATTACATTGCTCATTTCTACCAACTTCAGGAGCCAGATGGATAGAAAGTTGATACTTACTAAGAAAGAGTGAAACAGAGGGGAATGATGCACCCCAAAACCCTCTAGAAATTCTGCTAGGTCTCACTCTGTCGACCCAGATAGAGAAATAGAATCATTCTAACTGAAGGAAACTCAGAGGCTATCTCGCCCAAATCTTCTGTTAATGCAGGGAACTCATTGCAGCATCATAGCTAATAAAATAACCACAGGAAGAAAGGAAAGAAGGAAGGAAGGAAGGAAGGAAGGAAGGAAGGAAGGAAGGAAGGAAGGAAGGAAGGAAGGAAGGAAGGAAGGAAGGAAGGAAGGAAGCCAGTAGTAAAATGGAATAGAATATATCTCAAGAGTTGGTTGAATGCCTCTTGTATTTAAATGTAGTCATCATTTATTTCCACCATACCCACCATAATGGCATTTGTTTACATCCTTGGGCAGCTTGCTAAATGCCCGACGGATATAACTTAACATTCACTAACCTCTTAATGATGACTCTCATCCCAAATTTTGGAGGATGCATTATAGTTCTGTCCTTTAGCTATACATCTCTAAGTGTTTTTGTTTCTCACACCTAAGTAACTTAACAGAAGAGGAGCAGAAGTTGAACATTTTGGTGGAAAGAAGACAAATTTGCCTTTGACCTCTTCTTTAGAAGCTTCATTGTAAACCAGCGATTCTTTCTTTACATACACACTGAGGGGAAAACTTTTCTCAACTGAAAGATACAGAATTGCCAGGATAATGACAGCCGTGGGGAAATATGTGGGTCAAATGTAATCAATCATTGCCTATAGCTGTATTGATTCATTCTGTGGCACCGCTGTTTTACTAGCCACGTTAAAACAAAAAACAATTTCCTGCAGCCAACGGTCCAGGGTTGGTGAGATTTCTGCTATTATAAGCAAGGATTCTATTGTATTTTTTAACCCCATTGTCCTTCGTCTCCTTGTAGCTGGAAGGCGTGGGAGAAGATGAACAAAAGTGATCTGGCCTGGGGAAGCAATGCCAAGGACCCAGATGAAAAGGAGATATCGCCTTGCTTGGTTAGCATAGGGGCTCTCCTCTACTACTGCATCCTGCTGTGTGTGGGTTTGCCTGGTAAGACAAAAATCAAGAAATCAAACAGCTCCATAAGCGTATCAGTGAGATGTTTTCATGTACACAAGTAGGAGGAGGAGAAACAGCAGCAGCAGCAACAATTTGTAGTTGATTGATTTTATGGTTATTTGTTTAACTGTCTGGGGTAGTTCTGCCAAGTTGACACACAGAAAAAAGAAATGTGCAAAAGAGCACAATAAAAACTCCACCATATCAACTCAAACGAATATAGTCCAGAAACCAATTCACATTTTAAAAGCTTACAGAAGGAGGGACCCTAACATTTTTTTTATTTTTTATTTTGGTGAGAAAGACTGCCAAGAAAAAATGGTCCCACCATGAAGGATCTATCTCTAGTAGCTGTCAGGAGAAAATGAATAGTACTCTAGATTCTAGATCTCTCTAGGATTTGGTCCAACACTTTAATTACTATCCCACAGTCATCACAACTTCTACCAACCTTTTGATGTGTTTTCATCAAAATCCTTCCAACCTAATTTTTTTTTACTTCATCAACATTAGTAAAAAATATCACAAAATGTTAGAGCCCAGACTTCAGAGGCCACCCAGTCATTCCAATAGCCAATTCAGTGCAAGAGATCAGTATGTTCTCCGATATCTACTGATATTTTTTAGCAAAGGGAAATCCAACTTAGTTTCTTATCCCAACATTTTAATGCACTGTCAGGATTTTTTAAGAAAGAAAGAAAGAAAGAAAGAAAGAAAGAAAGAAAGAAAGAAAGAAAGAAAGAAAGAAAGAAAGAAAGAAAGAAAGAAAGAAAGAAAGAAAGAAAGAAAGAAAGAAAGAAAGAAAGAAAGACTATAGGAAGGTGAGAGGGAAAGTTTATTAGGAACAACTTTTACTGATGTGCCCATTATAGTGTTAATTTCAAGATAAGCACCAGAGGGCGCTATCATCTCACAAAGATGTGGAGAACATTGTTGGGCCTCCATTCAGGCAGTTTTATGAGTCCCTACAAAGGGAAACTAGGTTAGTTGGCTCAGAGAGTTGCCCCACGACTCCATTAGTGTTTTTATTGGAGCACCCACAACTTCTGGAGACAAACCATTCCATTAATCAGTGGAACAGCTTGCTTCTAGAAGTTGTGGGTACTCCAACACTGAGAGGTTTTCAAGAGACTGGACAACCCTTTATCTAGAATGATATAGAGCAGTGGTTCTCAACCTGTGGGTCGGGACCCCATTTGGGGTCGAACGACCATTTCACGGGGGTCGCCAAACAATGCAGTCCGCCATTTTACCCCCTTTTCTTTAGCTGTGCTACTCCCTTTTATTCTATTGGCTTTTGAAAGCCAATAGAATAGACTCTCTTGAATAGAGTCTAATTCTATTGGCTTTCAAAAGCCAATAGGAATTGTCCAGCCTGTCTCTGCCCTGCTGAGCCCGCCAAAAGTCCCATTCTGCAAATGGTGCTGCACCAGTTGAGTAGTCCTCGACTTACGACCAGTTGAGTAGTCCTCGACTTATGACCGGTCGGGGGTCACTGCATTAAAAAGGTTGAGAACCACTGATATAGAGTCTCCTGCCTGGGCAGCGGGTTGGACTAGAAGATCTCGGAGGTCCCTTTCAATTCTGTTATTCTGCTATTTGGATGTAAGAATATTCTTGAGAGACAGAAGGAGGAAGAACTGCAAATGAGGGATTGGTCAGATAAGAGGCAGCTGACCTCACAGAAGGAATGGGACCAGAGCAAACATCTCAAAAAGGAAACCCCTCCCCCATTCCAAGTTTCTTGGATTGTAAAGTTAAGGAGAGGGAGGGAGGGAGAGAAAGAGAGAGAGAGAGAGAGAGAGAGAGAGAGAGAGAGAGAGAGAGAGATGTACTTTCAGACTTGCAACAGTAAAGGCAGTCGGTCCCAAATGCAAGTGGTGGGATTCAGCTGGTTCACACCACTTTGGCAGAACCAGTAGCTAATTTTTTGTTGCCCTGGTCCAGAATGGACTTCCAGAAGCGGCATCCACACAGAGAACCGGTTGTTCACATATTTGAACACCACCACTGAATTACTGTATATCTAGTCCTTCTTCTGGAGTCCTGACATCGATAGTTGTTTGTTATCATTCCCAGCCTTATTTTACCTTGACAAGGACAAATAAGCTAAAGGGAGGCCTTCTGAGTCAATTTTACAGAAACCAAATATTAGTCACAGCTATGCATACAAATACACAGGGCTTTTTTCCTCATAGAACGCCCAGAACGGAGTTCCGGCACCTTTTTTGGATGGAACCTTATAGGGTAGGCAAGGTGGGTTGTATGATATGTGTAAGTTCTGGCACCTTTTTTTTTTTTTTTTTTAGAAAAAAGCACTGCAAATACTAATTCATCCTTAAAGCACTTTTAAACTCCTTATCTACAAAAAATTTTTACTACCCTTTTGTTATCTTTTCTTCCTTGTTCAAGTTAACGTCTTAACTGCTGCTGCACTTTCCCGTCTTGCTGCTCGTACTCAGAAATCCTCCTACTACTACCTCTTGGCCCTCACCGCTTCTGACATCCTCACTCAAGTCTTTGTGGTCTTTGCTGGCTTCATTGTGCAAGCAGCCATCTTGTCTCGTGAAGTTCCAGGTGCCTTTGCCCATGCAATCAACATCTTACAGTTCACAGCCAATCACGCCTCCATCTGGGTGACGGTACTGTTGACTATGGACCGTTATGTGGCCCTTTGCCATCCCCTGCAGTACAGGGCTATCTCCTACCCAGAACGCACCCAGAAGATAATTGGTGCCACGTTTGCAGTCTCACTGGCTACTGGAGTTCCTTTCTACTGGTGGCTAGATGTTTGGCATGATATCTACCCACCCAGCACAATGGACAAAGTCCTGAAGTGGCTTCATTGCTTCATCATCTACTTTATTCCCTGCACTGTCTTTCTGCTGACAAACTCTGTGATCATCTGCAAGCTCAAGCGATCAGGAAATCCCAACCGCCGTCTCAGCAGAACGACGGCCATCTTGTTGGCCATCACCACTGTGTTCATTGTCCTTTGGGCTCCACGGACATTTGTCATGATCTACCACCTCTACGTGGCATCGGTCAATCAGGACTGGCGAGTACATCTGGCCTTGGATGTGGCCAACATGGTAGCCATGCTCAATACCTCCATCAACTTCTTCCTTTACTGCTTTGTCAGCAAGACTTTCCGACGTACAGTCCGCGAAGTGCTAGTTTCTTACAGATTCCATTGTACCCAACCATCCAGGAAGAACACCACTTTGGAACTGACTCTGAAACCCCTGGGGGTCTGGGCTGGGACTTCAGTTTAGGGAGATTATTGTCTTTCTTAAACCAGCTCCATTTTTGCTGAATGTAGATTCCATGTGTCTTTTGGTGCACCAGCATAAATCAGGAACAGAAGGGATATAAAGCAACAATGCTGGGAAGAATATTCTGGGTATGCAAAAATGTTGTGTGCGCATATATTTAGTTGTTTTATTTGCACCAATGTGGCTGTGGATGTAAGTTTGCTTATGTGTACGTTTCCAGAGCGCAGCAAACATTGACAAGGTTTTGGATGAATATAGGCAACTATAGATCAAGTAGGAGCATTTCAAGTGTACATATGTTATTTCTTATGGAAACCAATCAACTTTAATATTATCTCAACTGGAACATAGAATAATAGATATGGTTGCTTTTGCCACATAATTGTGGAAGCCAGCTGACCAGGTCGGCAATGGCGATCATGTCACCTTGAGATGCTGCAACCATTAAAAATGCAAGATGGTTGCCAAGCATCCAGATCACGCTCACGTGACTGTGAGGAAACTGCAACGGTGTAAGTGCAAAGACCAGTTATAAGTCACTTTTTTCAACATCAACATAACTTTGAATGATCGCTAAGCAAATGGTCTTAAGTTGAGGACTGTCTGTAAAACTAACCATCACCAGGTTACCTTAGCAGAAAATGAAAGAGAAAAGCCACTTTGAATGATTGGCTCTGCATACTCAGAAGCAGTACATAAAAACTTTTCAAGATGCCCCATGACAACCAGTTTGAAGCTGCCTTGCCTTTCCCCAACCTGATGCCATCCAGATATGCTCCCCAAATTCTCATCCAAAGGCCACATTAACTGAGAATCTGAGAGCTTTAACCCCAACATTTCTAGAAGGCATCTGACTAAGAAAAGCTGAGGGAGCAGATCCTGAAGCTAAGCTTCATCCCCCTAACGAGGTGCTTCCCAAACTTTTTTCCTTCATTACCCAAAACCATTTTTGGAGTTTGCCAAATAGTTTTGTGTTTGTTTTTTTAATGAAGGCAAGAGCAACAAAGCCTACTTCACACACAGAGGGGCTTGGAAATGGCAATAATTGCATCACAGCCTCCTCAGCTACTACAGGATATTCATTGTGAACTATTAGCCAGGAAGACTCCAACAGCTCCTCCTCCTCTTCAAATAACATTTTCCATTGACCTCTTTGCCTAAGCCAGATCATTTGCTCTGCATAGCCGTTAATGGGTTCATGTATAGTCACCCAAAGAAAAACCACTTTTATCCAATACAGGTAGTAGTTTACTGGTACAGGTACTCTTCAGTTTTCAACCATTTGTTTAGCGATTGTTCAAAGTTACAACAGCATTGAAAAAATAACAAATGATTGTTTTTCGTACTTATCACCACTGCAGCATCCCTACAGTCACGTGATCAGAATTGCAACACTCGTATTTATGACAGTTCCAGTGTTCTAGAGTCATGTGATCGTGTTTTGCGAACTTCTGGCAAGCAAAGACAATGGGGGAAGCCAGATTCCCTTAACAACCATGTTACTAACTTAACAACTGCAGTGATTCACTTAACAACTGTGGCAAGAAAGGTCATAAAGTGGGACAAAACTCACTTAACACCTGTTTCGCTTAGCAATGGAAATTTTGGGCTCAGTAATCATTGGGGGCTACCTGTAATTTACCCAGGTTTGGGAACCACTGCATGAATGATCCCTGGGATGTTGAGGTTCAGTCTAATCTAAAGCTTCATAAGGCTGAGGTGAAGACGATGGAGAAGAATGGTCTCCTTTGTGGCCCTGAGTTTCTTTAAAAAAAAAAGGGAGAGGTAGTGAAGTAGCTTCACTCAGAGATACCTTGTTTTCATTCTTTGCTCTTTTTTAAGTAATGAATTGTTTGGGGAAGGGAGGAAGGAGAGAAGCATTCATCCTCCTTTTGTTTTATGGTCTTACAGCTCTCAACCTTGTTCAGTGAGGCGAGCCATCCATCAAGAGCAAAGACAGACCCTTACTGCCATTTTCAAGAAAGCCCAACCAGGAGATGTGTAGATGTGTTCCACCTCAGTGGAATACCTTTAGTGTGTGGCAGAAAGACAAATATCCCCAGCTCTTATTCACAATATCTATTCTGATTCTTTCAGTGCATACAGTATTTGGAGAATGCAAGAAGGAATGTTTGTGGCACTGATTTCCCTGTTACCAAAGGCAAAATACAAGGAGATCTTGAAAAACCCATGCCCTAGGACTGAAAGAGAGGAAAATAGTAATATCCATGTTATGACATGTGTGTTTAGAAGGGTGGAACTGACAGAATTGTTTCAAGCAAGCAATCCCTTTGTGTGGTAAATATCTCTGAGCCAGATAATCCATTCCACACTTTCAAAACTCCAACATTCTTCACTTCTCACTCTTCACCCCTAACTTTCCACTCCCATAAATATTTGCCTTTAGGTGGGTTTCTCTGAGTTTTTCTCTCTCCTCCTTTGAAAAGCTTCTTTCACACCCTTTTGGAGGGCCTATCCAATCTGGCTGCTTCCCAAATAGCTCCAAGCACCACTGCCTGGGAGAAAAGCCAGCTATATCCTGCCAAGCATCAACTCATGTTTGCTCCCAGAGTCACAGATAGAGGCATATAGTTCAGCTTCAGACATTGGTTATAGGCCTGTTGGGACATTCGTATGATCTTACATCCATGTACAAATTGGGAGGTCTGTGCAGGGAAATGAGAAGAAAACTGCCATGAGCTGAAGCTTCTTGATAGATAAGACAACCCAATATTCATACAAAATATTAAGTAATCATTGATTGGCTTAGTGTGGCTCTAACATGTTGTGTGAAGGTACATATAATGGTTTATAAGCCACGGTTTGTGGCTTAATCCCAGATAAGGAGGCTATTGTACATCTTGGCACTAATGATCTGTCCCAAAAAGATGTACTCTCTGTGCAGAATGATTTCCAGAGCTTGGGGAAGGAACTTAGCAGAATAGGCTGTAGGCTTACTTTCTCAGAGGTTTTACCAGTGTATAAGGAGCAAAACGGAAAAGGCCAGCGCATAGCACAATTCAATATGTGGCTAAAGGAGTGGTGTAAAGGGGAAGGCTTCGGATATATTAGTCACGATGTCAGTAGCTGGTCCAATCAAAAGATGTACAAAAGAGATGGTTTGCATCCATCAAAAAAAGGGACTGAGTTACTCGGCTATAAATTCACAGATTTTCTGGAGGGAAATTTAAACTAAACAGCGGGGACAGGGAGTTAATTGATACGGAACAACCCTGTCCCCGGCAATTTAAAAACTATAGGGCTATCAGTGCATGTAGCATAGATGTGTGTGTGGACAAGAATACCAATCTTGCTACCAATCAAAATGAAGCCTCTAATAGCGAGTGCCACATAAAGTGCACTAACCAAATAGGTGGTAAGACAATAGGGGAACTCAGGCACCACACAGGTTATGTAGAAAGGAAACACAGGGCCACCCACAAAGGACTCAAATGTTTATACACCAATGCACAGAGTATGAACAGCAAACAGGGTGAACTAGAAATTCAGGTTAACGAGGGCAGATACGATATTGTTGCCATTACGGAAACATGGTGGGATGAAACTCACACATGGAACACACAGCTAGAGGGATTTAAATTATTTAAAAGAAACAGACCAAATAAAAGAGGAGGTGGAGTTGCTCTCTATATAAGAAATAACTACATCTCCACAGAAATAGAGTACAACAATGATAAAAACTCTCTTGAATGCATTTGGGTCAATATAAAAGGGGGGGGAAATGACATTGCCATAGGTGTATACTACAGACCACCCAACCAAACAGAGGAAATAGATGAACTTTTTGCTAGTCAGCTAACTAAGGTATGTAGGAAGCACACCACAATAGTAATGGGGGACTTTAACTACCCTGACATCAACTGGGAGACAAACTCCGCACCAAGTGGAAGATCAAACAGGTTCCTGGCAAACCTAGCAGACAACTTTGTCTCCCAAAAAGTAGAGAAGGGAACTAGGGGATTAGCCATTTTGGATCTAATTCTCACTAACAGAGATGAAATGATAGACGGTGTTGAAGCCATAGGAACCCTGGGAGGAAGTGATCATGCAATATTAGAATTCAACATTATAGAAGCACAACCAATAGAACACAGTCAAACTAGAGTCTTGGACTTCAAGAGAGCTAATTTCAATAAACTTAGAGAGGGCTTGGGAAGGATTCCATGGATGAGAATCCTCAAGGGGAAAACAACTCAAGAAGCTTGGGAAATTTTGAAAAATGAGATAATAAAAGCACAGTCTAGCACAATACCAACAAAGAGGAAAAATAACAGCTCTCAAAAGAAACCAGCATGGCTGCATAAAGAACTCTCTGACAAATTGAAAGATAAAAAGGACAAGTACAGAAAGTGGAAAGAGGGGAACATAACTAAGTCAGAATATCAGCAAATAGCCCGAGCCTGCAAAGATGAAGTGAAGAAAGCCAAGGCTCAAAATGAACTAAGGCTTGCGACCAAAGTCAAAAATAACAAAAAAAGCTTCTTTCAACATGTAAAAAACAAGAAAAAAGTGAAGGAAATGATTGGTCCATTAGTGGGTGGAAGTGGCAAGAAGGTGACAAGCAACAGGGAGAAAGCAGAACTATTTAACTCATTTTTTGCATCTGTCTTTACACAAAGGGAAAAAACAGACCAACCTATCAAAAATAGTGCCATAAAAAACAAAACAGAAACACAAGTTAAGATAGGCAAGAAAATGGTTAGGGAGCACCTGTCCAGCCTAGATGAGTTCAAATCGCCAGGACCAGATGGATTACACCCCAGAGTTCTCAAGGAACTGGCAGATGTGATATCGGAGCCACTGAACTATATTTTTCAAAGATCCTGGAACACAGGGGAACTACCAGAGGACTGGAAAAGAGCTGATGTAGTTCCCATCCTCAAAAAAGGAAAAAAAATGGATCCAGGAAATTACAGACCTATCAGCCTGACCTCAATACCTGGGAAGATCCTGGAAAAGATAATCAAACAACGAATCAACGAACACCTAGAGGCAAACAAAGTCATTACTAAAAGCCAACATGGGTTTGTCAAAAATAGATCATGCCAGACAAATCTTATTGCATTCTTTGACCAAGTGACAAAATTAGTGGATCAGAGGAATGCTGTGGACATAATTTACTTGGACTTCAGTAAGGCATTTGATAAAGTAGATCACAACCTACTACTTGACAAGATAGAAAAATGTGGGGTAGACAGAACCACCACCAGATGGATCCGTAGCTGGCTGACCGGCCGTACTCAGCGAGTGGTCCTCAATGGAACTGCATCTATATGGAGGGAAGTGTGTAGTGGGGTGCCCCAGGGCTCTGTTCTGGGCCCAGTACTCTTCAACATCTTCATCAACGATTTGGATGAAGGGATAGATGGGGAACTCATCAAATTTGCAGATGACACCAAGCTGGCAGGAATAGCCAACACTCCAGAAGACAGGCTTCAGGTACAGAAGGATCTGGACAGACTTGAACACTGGGCACTAACTAACAAAATGAAATTCAATGGTGAAAAAAGCAAGGTTCTACATTTAGGCAAGAAAAACCAAATGCACAAGTACAGCATAGGTGGCACCATGCTCAATAGTAGTAACTGTGAGAGGGACCTCGGAGTCCTAGTAGACAATCACTTAAATATGAGCCAGCAGTGTGCGGCAGCTGCCAAAAAGGCCAACACAGTACTAGGCTGCATTAACAGAGGGATAGAATCAAGATCACGCGAAGTATTAATACCACTCTTCAATGCCTTGGTAAGGCCACACTTGGAATACTGCATCCAGTTTTGGTCACCACGATGTAAAAAAGATGTTGAGACTCTAGAAAGAGTACAGAGAAGAGCAACAAAGATGATTAGGGGACTGGAGGCTAAAACATATAAGGAACGGTTGCTGAATTGGGTATGTCTAGTTTAACGAAGAGAAGGACAAGGGGGGACATGATAGCAGTATTCCAATATCTCAGGGGCTGCCATAAAGAAGAGGGAATCAAGCTATTTTCCAAAGCACCTGAAGGCAGGACAAGAAGCAACGGGTGGAAACTAATCAAGGAGAGAAGCAACCTAGAACTAAGGAGAAACTTCCTGACAGTGAGAACAATTAATCAGTGGAACAGCTTGCCTCCAGAAGCAGTAAATGCTCCAACACTGGAAGTTTTTAAGAAGAGACTGGACAGCCATTTGTCCGAAATGGTGTAGGGTTTCCTGCCCGAGCAGGGGGTTGGACTAGATGACCTCCAAGGTCCCTTCCAACTTTACTATTATTATTATTATTATTATAATTTAAATTTATTCCATAAATGAAGTTTCTGTATGATTTTAGCCCAATTTGTGTGAAATGAATCAGAGTCACTAATCCTCCTTCCAGTTTGTACTGAATGAACTACTTCTCATTCAGGTAGGAAACCTGCCTTTGGGCTGAATACCATGTCAAA